TAATAAGCTCTAACGTAGCGATCACGCAGTTCTTATGACATGCTGAAAGCAAACGTATTTGTTTTACGAAGAAAAAAATACCAACAATATGTCACAAAATAACGTCTAAATAATTTGACTGCAGGGTATTAATATCGCAATGGGCTTCTTTTGGTTGAAATTGCTGGATTACGTCGAAACGGTCATATTCGTGTTAAGGAAAAAGAATAATCAAGTGTCCGGTTTGCATGTATATCATCACGTGAGCACCTCGTTAATTGCATGGTGCAGCCTAAGATATTACTGCGTTGGTCCCACGGTGTTCATATTCATAATTAACAGTGCCGTACACGTGATAATGTACATCTATTATTTTCTAGCAGCGTGTGGACCGGATATTCAAAAAAATATTACACCTTTAAAACGATGTATAACTATAGTGCAAATGGTAAGTTTTTCTTTTTCCTCACGCTTTCTTTATACCCACTTACATTGCGTAAAACTTGATAACATTTCTTTCGCGGTTTAAGCGCGTATCACCAGTCGATATCCGGAAATTTAGCCAATGATACATTATAAATTGTTTTTCGTTTTACGTTGCAGGTGCAATTTTTGTTCCTAATGTTGTACTTGTCGCAGAATTTTATCACATATTGCAAAGTCGTTTCACACTGGAGTATCATACTCTTCTTACAAAACTTACTGTTAAATTTGTATCTATTCTATAACTTTTATCAAAAAACATATGTAAAACCCCAGAAAATGCAATAGATTGTGAAGAGCCATATATTGTATTAATATAAACCGAAATAATAGAAAGCTTCTCGAATAGATTAACTAACATTGAGATTTGAAACGGCACATAAGGAGCAAGCACGGATGTCTTGGTGCTATTAAATACTAATATTACTTTTTAATATTAATATGATTGTGGGAGGATAAAATTGTCATATACATGAATGATAATAAAATTGTCATATACATGTATGTTAATAAAATTGTAATATACATGTATGTTATATCAATAAAGAACTAGCGTGTGTTTTTACGTACACATATAAAATATATATTTATAAATAAGAATATGCACGTAGAAAATTGCATGATATCTAATTGGGATTCAGTTCGATCTTCCGAAAAAAAATTATGTACTTTGATTCGAAAATCCATGTAGTAGTATTAGAAGAATAATTAGAAATGTAATATTTTAAACATACTATTTTAAATAAGAAATCTAAATATTCTCAAAGATTTTTTTTCTAGTTTCAATCTTATTTTAAATTTAAAGGTATACACAATATGAATTCTGTCTGCATGCCATAGTTTGGTATATTCTCATTCCCTGTTCTTCCATTATTATTATCTTACTGTAAAATTAATGAAAACACATGAAATACTTTTTCGAGATTTTACGAGAGTAAATATTTAAAAGATGTAAATACTCAATATCCGAAAATTTTTGTTTTTTTTATTTGTTATTCTATAGAATAAGTTTTTATAGATTTTAGTTTTCATAGATTTTTTAAGTTCTACATAATAAAAATTTTATTTTTCATTTTATAGAATTTAATAGTTAGTTTAAAAGTAAAATTGTCTATTCGATTTCATGAAAGTATATTGATTTTATGTGTTAAGAAAAAAAACGGGACAAAAAAAATTAAAATTTTAACTACTCTCTAAGATCTAATCTCCCTTAGGATTTTACTAGATTAGCGCATTCTTCTTTAACATGTGTGATATACGTCGGTTATACATGGTTAACACGTAATATCAAACTCGACAGAGCGTCGAGAGAAGTCGGAAGAAAGACATTTTAGATTCACACGTACACGCGCGCGCGCGTATCACTTCATATAACAGTGTATGTATACCGACGTCTTACAAGAAAATTTTAACTTATTAACTCAACTTCCCATGATGCTCGAAGTCAAAAGAAATTTGAGATTGTTGGATCACGAGTTCACAGGCGAAAAACGCAATCAGCACACCTCTTGTCATTCGTTGCGTAAGAAAAATAAATCAGTATCGCGAGGATGAAAAAAAACGCGAAAAAGGAAAAAAGCGGGAAAAAGCTTATATTAAGGTTCTTGGCTAGTTAGGCGAGAAATTCGCGTCGGCGGTAGCGATACAGTCATCAGTGGTAGGAATAAGAACTTCATTCATCGTAGTTGCCGTATGGTAAAGTGAATTGTGTGTGTGTGTGTGTGTGTGCGTGTGCGTGTGCGTGTGCGTGGCATGTGCGTGGCGTGTGCGTGTGTGTGTGTGTGTGTGTGTAAACAGCCACCTAAATTTTGTCGTCCAAATCGCGGCGTTTTTACTGACTATAGTGCTTACATATCACACATAACACAATTGCGGATGTATGAAAATTATTCGGATATTGTGCTTTTTGTAATTTTTAAGTATAATAGTACTTATTTTGATATAGTTCGCACCAAGTCTCACAGCTGATCTTCTGTTAAAATAAGTCGATTTCCACATATATATTTTGCAGTGTTGTAAAGGTTATTTTGGGAAAAGAACACTGTCCGTAGCATTATACGAGTGTGTAGAATCGATTGCAAGTGTCATTTTGTTAACATATCTTTTTATTTAGCAATGATTCGGACGCAAAGTGTGCAAATCTCGCTTCTGACGTCATCAATCAATATGGCCGCGATAACTAGCCCGTGCCTTAATAAGAAACATAATCAAACGTAATCTAACAATTGTGAGCGAAACAGTTCTATAAATCGACTAGTTAACAAAACTTTATCTTTTGTCAAAATTTATTCAAGTTTTTTTATTTATACGTATCATTTTTTGACAATTTAGTATATATGTTTGCCAAATGTCAATATCAATTTAATAAGAATTTAATAATAAATGTAAAAGGTAAATTTATGTAATGTAAAACACAGTAACCACAATTATTGAAATATTCATTAAGAAGGATTGATAAACAAATAAACGTAATTTAGTGAGACAAGCTCTATAAGGCAATATGAAGGGATGTCTTAGATTTATGGACTATTTCCTACGCAGAAAGAAAGAGACGTTGACGTTAATGTTAACATGATATATTTGGTCAAACAAGTTTTCGCGGAATTAAATAGAATTCCTTTTTATTATAATGAGATATTCTAGTGTATAACCAGAACATTCAGGTATAATATCGTGCAAAATTGGGTTATTACATAGTAATAACACTCAAATATCTGGTCCTCCGGTATAGAGATTTCTTAATATTTTTCCAAATGCAGATTAGATTCGAACCAAAATGCCCAACTTTGTGTCCTAAAATAAATAGTGTCCCACTACTATACCAATTGAGAATTTCATTCTTATCTGAAACATGGGTTCTTTGTCTAGAATCGGAATAGAAATATTAGGTAAACTCGACCTTTTTAAAGTGTTTTTTGCATCTGTTTCATTAATACGATAAAGATAATACAAATATTTCCTCTGGCTTATATTGTTCCATGTTAAAATAATACATTTTTGTTTTATGTGTAATAAATTTGTACATCTGAATATAATTCAATAATTTCATACATTTGTATGAAATCGGAAGATTTTGTGGGATATTTATACATATTTTTGACTTTACTTTCTTAGCTCAAATACCTTCCATTATAATTTCTTTATATTGATTTTTTCACAAACATTCGGAGTATTTAAACTTTACAAGTATATGTGTATATATGTTATATACTTGTAACGAGTAAATACTCAAAGTGTTTCATATATTTTGCTCAATTTTAGATTAAAATATAAGCCAGAAAAAATCTTTAGGAAAACGTGAAAGGAATGGCCAAATGGAATCTGCCTAAGTTTCCCACTTGAATTCGCGTGTTTAAAACATTACACTTCTAACCAAAATCTACATAAATTTCCCACTTAAAATCTATGATTATTACGGGAAATCGGGTTAGATCTTAATTAGATTCCAAAGTATTTTCTATGCGGGTTATTTTGATTACATTCAGAAAAAGAGCATGATTGAGTTAACGTTAATCTTTTTGGTTAAATGACTTTTTGTTTAGGTAATCACGATTCCAAGCACGACTCTACTCTTTAGCAAAAATATATCTACGAGGGTGGTCTGAAAAGTTTCCGACCTAACAAAGATACAAGTCATTTTTTCTGAAAATTGTTTTTTATTTTTCAACATAGTCTCCTTGTAAATCTACACACTTCTCCCAGCGATGCTCCCATCTCTGTAACCCGTCGAAATAGTACTCGGCGTTTTTCTCTGCAAAATAATTGTTCACGAAGGTGATTGCCTCTTCATTTGACGAAAATCTCTGTCCTCCGAGCGCAATTTTTAGATGAGGGAACAAAAAGAAGTCGCTTGGGGCTAGATCTGGTGAGTAAGGTGGATGGTCAAGCAGTTCAAACCGTAATTCGTGGATTTTCGCCATGGCAACCGCTGAGGTGTGAGACGGTGCGTTGTCTTGGTGAAACAGGATTTTCTTTTTCTGCAAATGTGGCCGTTTTCCCGCAAGTTCTGCCTTCAGCTTGTCAAGTAATGATGCGTAGTATGCTCCTGTAATGGTTTTTCCTTTTTGAAGATAATCGATTAAAATAACTCCATGACTATCCCAAAAAACAGTCGCCATCACTTTCCCAGCCGAAAAAACAGTTTTTGCTTTTTTTGGAGCCGGTTCCCCCTTTGCAGTCCACTGTTTGGACTGTATTTTTGTTTCAGGCGTATAATGGTGTATCCAAGTTTCATCTACAGTAATTAATCGGCGCCAAAACTCGGATTTATTGCGCCTAAACTGCTCCAACAGAGCGTTGGAAATGTTCATTCGAACACGTTTTTGGTCTAACGTGAGCAAACGCGGCACCCAACGCGCGGACAGCTTTCTCATGCCTAAATGTTGATTTAATATGCGACAAACACGTTCTTTTGACATGTTCATAACCTCTGCTATCTCTCTCACTTTAATTCGGCGGTCGTCTAGCACCATTTGGTGAACTTTGGCGATGTTTTCGTCGGTAGTTGCAGTTTTTGGACGTCCTGAACGTTCATCGTCTCCCAAGCTCTTACGGCCACGTTTAAATTCAGCGGCCCAAAATTTCACTGTCGTAAATGATGGTGCAGAGTCCCCATACACAGAATCCAACTCATCTTTGATTTGCGTAGGCGTATTGCCTTTCAAAAACAAATATTTAATGACAGCTCGATACTCGATTTTGTCCATTTTCACAAAAACACTCACATCAACTTACTCAAACGACTGTTACATAACAACTGCGAGTCCAAAATGGCTGAAACTTCGGTGAGTAACTGTCAACAGATGAACAACGAAATTCACTAGCTTTTATTTACAAGTGCTGCTATCTTCACGTTGAGGTCGGAAACTTTTCAGACCACCCTCGTATATGTATAAGATCAATTCGCGATCGCTTCCTTTTTAATAAACGCTACTTTGTTATAAAATATCAAGCCTATGGTGTTACATTGAATTTTGCACTTGACGGCAGAATGAAGTAGCTCGGGTAAAAGTCGAATAAACTTTTTCGTGATAAGTGGATATTATAATGTGGCCCTTAGCGAAATTAATCGTCTTCTCACAGACAACGCTAATCTGGTACATCAATAAACCACTTCTGTAGCAACGCGGTGTACTTACGTTTGCACATTTTCACGAAATGTTACGTTGTAGACGAAATTACTGCATCACGATTCATCAAAATCGTTATTCTTTGAAACAGATATCCATCGCACTTACCTGAAACAGAAAGAAGAGAGAAGACATTTATAAAAGTGTAATGAAAAACAATTATATCACAATAATAATATAATTGTATTACAGCAATTATATTACAACAGCTTTGTAATGATGATATAATATGATAATATAAAAGTCGTAAAAAATTAAGTTTGCGTTTGGAAGGAATTCGATCATCCGACATAACATACACACGTGTGTTCCCTAAAATTTCTATTTACTGCCGCTAGATTAACTCATAAACGATAAAGCTCATATTGTTGACCATAATATGGCCGTGAACGTAATCGTGAGCCATATTTAGTGATTTAGCTATATTTTGGCGCACATCTCCAAATAGGATTTTCGGACACATGGACGTGTACGAATGTGCAAACATGCCAATGCTGAAATATCTTGTCGGTCGATCGTATACTCTGCGCAAATCTCCGTAAACAATATTCTGTGCACAGAAAAATGAAGCAATAGTAGGAAATACAAATAATGATACATATAATTTGGAACTTTATTCTTTTGAAACAAGTTATAGCTATGTGGAAAAAAAAGAAAAAAGAATTTCAAAAAGGGAGAAAGAGAGAGAAGAAAATAACATAACATAAATTTACATATTTCTCCTCTACAGAGCACTGAGATAACATTCGCGACGTCGTTATTTCATGAATGCGCTAAGTAAATGATCATATTGAAACAATATTTTTCTGTATGTTCTATTGACAGTTGCGAGAGATTCGCGACACAGTCGGTTAAATCCGTGGAGTTCGATTTTTACGTTTTCTAACTATTTTCAGACATTTGACAGGAATCTCACGGAGCTAATTTATAAGAATCGTCCTCAATCATGATGAGTGTCTTTCTCAAAGAATAATTGTACATAAAAGTTTCGGATGTAACCGAAGTAGCCAAGACGCGATTGGTTAAAAAATATCATCATCGGCGTCAGCGGAATTATGTTGATAAGATTATACAGATTTCTCAATTATAACTACTAATGCTGTCGGATGGAAGAATTTAAGAAGTTTACTAAGTTTTATCGAGAAGCATACATCTTGGAATGGAAATAGCAAGACGAAAGGAAAACGCAAAAAGTTTGTCAAAAAATGAAAATATAGGCCTAGTACATTTTTTATAGTGTACAGAAAACTTGATTATTATATTGTATACTAATTTATACTAACATAAGTATTTGAAAAAAGGAGTTACATTTTTGTAGAATAAGATTATGCGTACAGAGTGTCCGATAATTCGCGGCGCAGTCACGGTGTACAAATAGAACGGGTCAAAATAATCAGAAAAATTATGTTTTGCAATTTTCGCAATATTTACTCCATAATTAATTAGAACATATGAACCCATGAGCATACGCCGGAAGTAGTAAGACAGGCTCTATTAGAAATATCTAATAGAAAATGGCTGTCAATGTGTAAGAAAAGTACTTTTTAGCATTTTAACAATTTTTTAGCAACGATGAGTAACAATTGATTTTGGCATGTGTGTCATACGTTACTTCTTTGTAAGACAGATTTTCTGATCATTTAAATTAAGATCAAGCAGTTATATAAAGTATAAAAGATGTATAGAATAATATGCAAAATAAATATTTATGGTACCATGCGAGTGTGTGCATAAGAGATATATTTATATTATATTATATCTATGCACTATACAATTTTATTACTTATTCGCTCTATGTAACTTATATTCAAATAAATATAAGATAGAGAACGCAACATTTTTTAATATGCACACGTGTGTGTATCTGTATGTCTATGTATATGTGTGTGTTAAAAAATCACTTTATCAATCACTGAAGTAAGCAGAATTCGCATTCCAATCAAACTTTTTATTTAGATTTCTTAATGTAATTTTTCCTATAAAAATTATAAAATAAGACCAAGTATATTATTATATTGACGTAAAAATAAGGTAATATTTTTTTTCCTCTCGGTGTTTCGCAGGAGGGAAGAAAACCTTGTGCTAGAAACAGCAACGCCACGATAAATTGTACCTAGTCCCAAAAACAGAAAAAAATATAAGAAACACAACATATTTAATATGTATGTATGTATGAATTAGAACCAGAACAGATTTTAAATACAATAATTTTTATACGATTTTATATAATTATTATTATTATAAATAAAATAATGTCAAAAATATATTTTAAATTTATGAACTTGAAATATATATATATATATATATATATATATATATATATATATATATATATATATATATATATAATATAATATGATATAATAATATAACTTGCCATCTGTATAGTAGTTAAGTAAGGTTTAATGCGCGCGGCTATTTGTTGAATCTTCGGACCGCATGCAGCACAGAAATAATACGTGTACATTATTACATGTACGGAACAATTTAATATTAGAAGAAATGCCCCTCTTACATCCGGAAAGTATTTTAGAAAAATCCAGCCAAACATTACTATTGATATATGGTGATACACATGTAAACCAGAGATCTGACTTTCTTTCTTCCTTAACACGAATATACAGGTTTCAATATAATCGATTATTTTTATTTGATACAACCACCATGATACCGCCATGATCTAAAAAGTATATATATCACTTCACAATTAATATATTTAATGTTTTTATATATTTATTATTATATATTATTATATATAATAATATTATTATATATTATTATATATTATTATATTTTCTCGTAGACCATGTAATATATCAGTCATCAACATAAATATTACATAATATAACACACCTTTTGTGCAGTGGGACTATCGAAATCTGGTGCAACACAGCGTATTCCATATTTCGTGAACCAACCATTACGTATAAACTCCTGTACAAACCACGCGTTTGCTAAAATTTGAAATATATTGTAAAAGAATATGAAGTTTTTTAGTTTATATGGCGGTCTATCTTTCATGTAGCGAGGACCAGCAATATAGATAAAATACAAATATCCTCCAGTAAGAAATAATACTGGATAACATGAGTTCACTATCGGCCATTTTCCAGTTATAGGATCTGGAAATAAAAATATAATGCAATTTTTTAGATATCAAGTATCTATACAAGACGAATACCTTTTTAATAATATTTTTCAATGTTTTATTAAGATATTGCGTTATTTTAGCATTGTTTCACATGTCAAAGAATGAACGAGAAAATTTCGGTAAAGTTAACGAATTCATAAAAATTAATATTTACATTTTCAACAAACGTTTCTTTTATTATTTTCCCAAAGAAAATATGGTAAAAAGTTTATACGTTATTTACTATCATCTGTAGTTCAGCTATAATTGGCACGTTTATAAAATAAAAGATAACCTTTCTAATTATATTTGCGATTAAAAGTGCAAAGTGCCTTGTTAAGTTGCACAAAGCATGGTACATCGAAAGTACCACAAATATAAATGAAATGTGTAATTATCACACTCACCACTTTCTGGAAAAGAATTATAAATTTGCTCTAAATTCATTCTACGAAAGACAAATTTAATATACACCACTGGTCTTTATTTAATTAACCTGACGATCACGATCCGAAGCACGATTCTGCTGTTTAGCGGAAGTATGCCTGTATTTATAAAGTCAGATCCCAATTGCATACATTTGCTTACACAAATACATTGCTTGTTGTGAAACATCAAGCACCTGAAATTGCGTTAGACTTTGTATTGGTCGACACAAAGCAGTACATAAAAAGTAAATTGAATTAACATCTGATTTCTCATGACGAGTCTTTTTTCGATGTCTAATAAGCTGACACAATCATTTTAACACAATCGAATACGACTTACATAGAAATATTGTGCTTTTTTGCGTTTAATTTGTTGTATTCCTAATTTTGTCGCTTTTTTGTCGGTTTTCTTGTTAGAAAAAATTTACTTGTCATTACAACAGTTCGTATAATGCAAAGGATTAAAATCAGTGCTAAGAGAAATATTCCACATTTCAAGTATCTCTCACAAATATTATGTTATTCGAAGAAGCAATCTAATTATTTCGAACGAAAAATATAATGTTTCTACCCGAGTAAAAATGTATCTAGTAGAGCAGATTTCAAGACTAGTAGCTAAATAGTAATGACTAGATAAGTTTTCTAGCCAGTCACCAGTTCGTGATTGGCTAAATATTCCTACTCAGTCTTTTGAATGTCAGAACTATCTAGTGACTATACCAATTACATAGATAGTAGCTAGATAAAAAAGATTACACAGTAACAAGATAAAAAATCATCTGTAAATCCTGAATAGAAATTGGACATCAGAACTGTCTAGTAACTGTACCAATTATAGTTACAAGTTACTTTTTTATATCTAGCTACTAGACAATTTTTCTGATACAGTCACTAGGTGAATTGAGCGTTACATTTCTAGCTAGTAGCGATGTAAAACCCAACTTTTCTGTATCATTACTAGACAATAACTAGATTCAATTTTTGCTCGGGTACATTATACTTTTTTCTTTCATTTATGTATCTCTTGTCTTTGTTCATTATAGAAAACTTTATGCTCTAACGTTAACAAATTCCTTCATATAGTATTTTGGTATTCATTAATATTCCACGAATCTTTGTCTGCTTCGTTGTAGCTCGAAACATCGTTTTTCGTACACGTACGCAAAAGAGAGATTTCCAAAGCCCGGTTATTCATCCTCGACCGTGTGATAGGTGGAGGCATGGAGCGACCTCGTCTTTCGGGAAGAATGGAAACTATGCCATCTATTTAAGCCGAGTACTTCCGAGAGGTCGACGAAGTCCTGCGGGCTTCATCAAATTTTTAGTCCGCTCATGGCCCTAACCTTTCATCACGACCTACGTGTCAATGCTTATCCCCATCAAAATTATGATCTTCCTAAGATCCGCTCGAGTAAGTCGCGTCGCTAACACCCGTTTCGAAATATTCTTAGTAAAAACGAAAATATTGGTCGTGGAACAATAAATAGTGAGTGTCGATCGGTTTCATTATTTCATCAAACTTCATTGATGCCGCCTAATTTTCGTTTTCAGATCGAACGCACCGTGTCTAAAAATTCGCTATACATATCGGTCAGATAGTCCAAAACCTCTTTATCGGTTAATTAGCCTATTATTTAATAAAATTGACTGTTGCCGACGAAACAACATATTCGAAAGTGCCTAAGGGAAAAATCGTAAATATGTTGTCTATTAACATAACGATCCACCTTACTTTAGTTTAGTCTCGCGACGATGGATCTCGCCTCGGCATGGTGCGGCAAGACGTAGGAGCGCAGCGGTATAAGTATAGGCAGTGGTGCATTGTCTTTCAATCGCCACGCGCGATATCCGCGCGCTATATTACTGGGTTGCGCTGTGAGCGGTCCGTCCTCTACCATTCAGCACACGCTTTTCCTTAATCTTTCGTAATTAATTTCTCAGTTATTATTACGAATATCGCAAAACGATATACGACTTTTACATTTATTTTAACCCGCTCTACGTTCTTACGAAAGTTTCGTAGATTGTTCTGAGACATCTTGTATACACACATACCGGATAAAACTAATCGCAAACAATATAGAGTCGCGAACAATGTAGAGGAAAATAATGCAGAGTTATGTGTTCGTCATTTCCACTCATTCATGTACATAACTTTGCATAAGAAACATTGTTCGTAAGACCACAAACATACCGAGAAGAATCGATTAATAATACTTACATACTGGTGTATCAATGCATTTGTAAAGTGTAATAATATTTTTTTATGTAGATCTATGTTTTTATAACAATCGTGATTTTACCCGTCATTCTATGTTTTAAGTCGTTTACTCACTATAATTTTAATTAACTGCCTATTCAGTGCGATTATAATTTTTACGCCAATACTTTAATATACAGGGTGTAAAAAAATTATTACCGACAAACTTTGAGAGGAAATAGAGGACATAAAAACAAACATATTTTGTTAATAATGTTTTTCTCTACGACGCTTCGTTTTAATACTACAGGGTACAAAATAGGAATTTTATGATTTTAATAAAAAACAAACATATAAGTGGAAAAATTTAATTTACTATTTACGATTGAATGGCAATATTTATCGTATTTTTTTCGAGGAAGTTTTGCCAGAACTCATGGAAGACGTGCCACTTGTCACAAGAAGGCAAATGTGGTTCCAACACAATGGAGCCATTGTAGTGCTACTGTGCGCAATTACTTGGACCAAAGATTTAATGAGCGCTGGATAGGCCAAAGAGGTCCTATCGCATGGCCTCCCCGGTCACCAGATTTATCTTCGCTTGACTTTTTTTTATGAGGGCATATGAAAACTCTCATTTATGAGACACCTATTAAAATAGAAGTAGAATTGGTAGCCCGAATTACTGCTGCAGTATATCAGGTTCAGAATACTCCTGCAGTCTTTGAGCGTGTGAGACAATCAATGTTTCGACGATGTCATCTTTGTGTTGAAGCAAATAGAGGAATTTTTTAATATTTATTATAAATTGAGCTAATCAGTTGCGCATTTTTGTTCCGTTCTTTTGTTCATTGTTTTTTGAAGATTAAAATATATATGTGTAATTGAAATAAATTTAATTTTTCCACTTATATGTTTGTTTTTTATTAAAATCAAAATTCCTATTTTGTACCCTGTAGTATTAAAACGAAGCGTCGTAGAGAAAAACATTATTAACAAAATATGTTTGTTTTTATGTCCTCTATTTCCCCTCAAAGTCGGTCTAATTTTTTTACACCCTGTATATTAATATTAATTATTTAAGATTATGATAATATTCTTGTATTGTGTAACTGTATGTTTGTGTATTCATATACACACACACATACGCATGCACAGGATGTCCCAGACTCTCCTCCTCAATTTTTATGAGAATGTAGAACAAATTGAGATAAACATAAAAGTCCAATAACGGTTTTGCGATACTCGCAATAATAATTGAGATATTAATTAAGGCTCTGCTATTTCGGGGCGTTCATATTGATTTGATGACGTTAGAAGCAAGAAATGACATGCCGAAAATCCTTTGCATTTTATTGCTTTATTTTTTACTTTTCCTTGAAGAACCAAATATTTTCCTAATCCTGAAACTTGTAAAAAATATAGCAAACTTAGATATCTGGCTGATATATCACGTAGCATCGTAAAATAATTCCTGAAATAATACTACATTTTTCGGCTGTCACGGTGACTTGACAGCTGAGATATCAACCTGTATGAACACATTTAATTTCTCCATTTTCACAATGTATCACCAGTGTCACTGAGTTTGCTGCACATTTTACGGCTGTGAGGATCACGATAATATACACATTTCACAGAGAAACTGAAAAATAATGCGATAAAACGCAAGTAATTTTCCGAGGTGTCAAGCGAGGCGTAACGTGAACCTGGCCTAGTGTTAGCCAATCAGCTACGCTGACACGGTTATTTCGTGTTCTCGATACTGCTAGGTGCCACCGTCAACTCAGACTTTCTGCGGCGAGATAGCCTTAAAGATTAGTGAATGATCACGCGCGATATGGTAGATGAGCTTGTATATAGCGATATGGCCATATACATGAGCTGTGATATGGATGTGTGCTGTTGTGTGCGTTAAGTAAAATTGAACAAAAAAAACTATCATTTTGCAAATAAATATCATTTTGCAAACCATGTGGATTTTTAGTTAAAAAAAATATTATATAATTGTGCGCGATAATGCACAAGTCTTCTTTAATTAATATCTAAAAATCTATGTAATTATTTGCACAATGGTAGAAAACTTTTTATTCAGTTTGACCTAATGTATAAGTATACAACGGCAGACGGCGCCATCTACAACTCATATCGCGCGTGATCATTCGCTAATCTTCTTTAATTAATATATCGAGATTTATTACGAATATCGCAAAATAATATAGGACTTTTATGTTCACCTCAATCCGTTATACATTCCCGTAAAAGTTGCGGAGGAAAGTTTGGATTCGTAAGTTTGGGACACCCTATATATATTAAAAAAGAAATATGTATATATTAGGTGGTAAACTTAGTTCCTGCGGCTCACAGTTAGATGACGTTAGTTGTAGGTGTAATTTATTTTGACATCTGAAACTGGCTGCATTTTAGAGGTTAGTCATTTGTCAATAAAATTCAGTGCGAAGAGATTCATTTAAGCGAGCAGTACTATTTTTTCTTTTGATTAAATATGGAACGTGATAAGTTGTTTTTTCAACATGTGCTGCTTCATTACTTTGACTTGAAAAAAACTGCAGCTGCAGCTCATAAATTGCTTTTCGAAGCTTATGACAATTATGCTCCATCGGAAAGAACATGCCAAGTATGGTTTCAGCGATTTAAGAGTGGTGATTTTGATGTCAATGACAAAGAACGTTCAGGCCAACCGAAAAAGTTTGAAGACACCGATTTGCAGGCATTATTGGACGAAAACTCTACTCAAACGCTCCAAGAATTGTCTGCAGCATTAAATGTTACTCCGATGGCTGTTTCCAAACGTCTACATGCAATGGGAAAAATTCAAAAGGAGGGAAAATGGGTACCACACGAATTAACCGCAAATGCCATTGCGAATCGCTTAAA